CACAAGACGCAGACCAACTGGACGGGACAAGAGCATTTACTGACGTGAGCGGGATCAGGTTCCGAGGGCCGCATGATCCCTAAGGCCCCGAACTCCCCTTAGACTGGCGTTTCTAAAGGGGAGTTTCTCACATACAGGATGCTGATTCGCTGTACAACGGCTCATCTCACTGCCCTCATATGGGTTTACGAATGGAGCACAATATCAAGTGGGGGATCTGCCATGCGCTGGACAACTTTAAGTAACCCTTGAGCAGTTCGAAAGTACTGGGGTGGCTGTAAGAATAATGGGATGATGTATGCAGTAATGTAGTGAATACTCCCTACAATCACGGCAGCAATGTCGTGCTCGTTGTGAAGTGAGTGTCGTATGAATAGTGAAACTGTCTGTGAGTTCTTTTTGATATAGTCTGAAAATAACGTTGATCAAAGCATTAAGCATTCTTTATGGACTGACCATTGGTATGGTTATAGGAGAGGGTGGCTTGTGCCTTTGTGCAAAAGCTATTTGCACCAGGCTACGCCGTCTCCTCTCCCAGCCCCAAAGGCCGCAGTGCCTGCTCTACTGGGGTTGAGAGACAACAATTTTAAGAAAGAGAGAATAAACTGAGAGAACTTATTTTCTTAACCTTCGGTAGTCTGATTGGTTTGTTCAGCATGATAGAGATTGCTTGCCAGCTCGCTCTACTGAGCTGTGGGGTTCCAGGGATGCGCCGCACAGTCGCCCTTCAGAGATACAACCGAGTAATACGTGTAGCTTACTGCGAATAATTGTACAAAAGAGAAATACTCTAAGTCATCTTGAGCAGATCTCAGCAATTGCATGAGGGAACTGGGGACAGGGAACTGAGTTTACAGGGCCTGCAGTACCTAGAGTGTTATGGAATACCATCACCCCATCGTGTGAGGGAACTTGGATCCCTATTACGCCTCACGATTGTGTTTTTCATCTGCGTTTCTGTTGTCATTGGGGGCACAAGACGCAGAGCTGCTGGCCGGGACTAGTGCATCTACTGACGTGAGTGGGATCAGGCTCCGAGGGCCACATGATCCCTAAGGCCACGAACACCCCTTAGACTGGCGTTTCTNTAGTGATTGCGTAAGCCATGCGCCAACTGGATTCACTCGTGGAGCTCTTGGGTTACAGCTCGTCTTCCAGCCAATATGCTGAGTCCATGCATAGGTTTTAAATTCCTGCTGCACCCCACTACAAACAAATTCCCCAGAGGCGGTGGATTACTCTATGCTCCAGTTGCTGCGAAGAACCCGTGCAGCTGGTGCCAGTCTAAATGATGCCTCGAAAGGATACAGGGACGAATCACCGTGTTAAAGTCAACCGCTTATTTAGGAAAGAGACACCGGACTAGCGAGTGCACGTGGCTTCCACCATCCTCCTTCTCTGTCGGACTAGCACTACGGCTCAGTTGAGGCACAAAATGATGCTTCACCATTGGAGAAGGCGCAAGAATTACGACGAAGGCCTGTCAAACTACAGAGCATGGAGCCCAGAGGCAACTTCCATGGCGCATGGCTGGATAGCCGTGCCTCCAATAATCTTACATAAACTTCGGTAAAATTTATCTACCGTACAGAGCTACTTCCGTAAGGGTTCGAAACATTAGGATAATGCCGCAACCAAGCCTAGATGTGATCGTCTCCACATGTGGGCGGACGAGATTTGCGGGGTGCTCTGAAGTTGTACGCTGCTTATCCAATTATTTTGGGACGTCGTTAGCTTTCTTTCGGCATGGTGACTGCTCAAAAATGTCCGGAAATGCCACGCGGGACATTGTCAGAACCGAACATGATGAAAACGACCTAAATGACGCTTTGTGGCTACTTGCCAACACCCTTTGGAGGATAGAGTATTGGATTCCTATACATGCCTGGGAGCAGACGGTGACGGAGACAGGACAGAGCACAGTATCGCAGAAGGCCACCCAAACAACTATAGGAGGCGTGAAAAAGCAAACAAAAAGTATCTATCACCGAAAACTGGACTAGGGCCTACTCACGCAAACAGTTATCTAAAAAGGGCTTGGCATCCGCTTCCGGCCCAAACTACGGTTGCGCCAAAGGAGAGAAGACAGCTGCTTCGAACCTTCTCCTGTAGTTCTGGCAACAGAAGATCGATGGACAAGGAATATTCGTACCCTCCACCTGTGGAAAGAATCAATTTACCCCGCACATTGACTGAGGGACTCAGTCCAGAGCTTCAGAACTGCCCTTTGAAACACTGTGTCAACATTGGTTGCCGTTGACACCTGCTCACATTTGCGCGAAATAAATACACAAAATTGCTCAACTGTACTGAGGTCAGCCTTAGTCTTCTCCTTACGTCTCCCTAGCGAACGCCTTTTAACCTTGCCTAGGGTCTCGAAGTATCACATAAAATTACACATTCTTAGTTTGGCCGGGATTTCGTTACGAAAGTAAAAGGGTAGCTGCTGCCTCATCTTTGCATCGCGCCAGTTGCAGAAACTGTTGTAGCTGTAGCTATATATCATGCTGAGCAGACAGTGCTAGCCACGATCAAAACCCAGTTATTAAATCATACTAAACTGCCTACTACAGTCACGTTTATATTTAAATGCGCTTTATTAGCTTTCTGCTGCTGACCACATCCAAGGTGAAATTGTAGGGACCTGGCACTACAGGTTTCAGCTGGGGTTATAACTGGAAGCGCTGTAACTCGTGGAAAGCCGGCGGCTCACCCCATCACCCCCCAGGCCTTTGCATCGCTCAGCCCAGTACGCCTGGAGAAATGCATGGAGGACCGGCTTTTTTTGTGAACTCCTATCTTACGTAAATCGAGTTTATTGCAGCCCCCTATACTCAACGGTTATGATCGAGGATGCTGGTTGCAAAATAGCTGTCGAAGAATAATATTCTTTCATAGCGCACCAGTTAAGCATATTTTGCTACCAAGAGCAGACGGCGGCAGTTCAACGCGGAAGCTGCCCATGCAGCAGGTGTACGAATTCTACGTAGATAAATAGCAGCCGCTCGTGTATATGTTCTGGTATGTATGCAAACTACATTTTTCCTTGTACCTGCCACAGTGGAATCTGGACAATCAGTTCGACGGCTTCTTAACTCGCGCCCTATCAGGCCAACAAGAATGCAAGAATTGCTATGTTGCCCATTATGCATTCGAGATTCTCTTAGCGAGTCCTTTGTGGAACATCAATCGCATTGGCAGTTGGAAACTGCAACACTCTAGTGCTGCGCGCTTTACAAGATCAGTGGTAACTTCCCTCAACATAAAGAAAGCATACAACGCTATCTATAAATTAAGAAGCCGTCCAAGTACTAATTGCTAATTTCAAAGTTCAGGTCTTTCGCAGGCCTTAACAGTAAGTGTTAGTCGGTAATATAGAGTGCAAGCAGGGAAGGGGAAGACAGGTGTTGCGACCGCTCCCGGGGGCTGGACACTCCTTATTCAGGGGTCGTTCCGGCCAGGGTCAAGAGAACCGACATATATGCAAGAGATAAAGCGTAATCTCTTGGGTTCAAAGCCGAATGTGGATCTCGAGAATCGGTGGAAATCGACCGTTCAGGCCTGAAAGCCAACTTTTATTCGATGCAGTAATGATTTACTGTCGGAAAATTGTGATACTCTTTAAGGCTGTCGGTCCGAAGGTATCAGGTAGTAGCCTTTGTATCTTATGCTCAACACTTATATATAAGGAGCTCATTGTTGGCTTCAACACAGATTATTTGTGTTGAAGCCAACAATGAGTAGGCGGTTGACGCCTACTCGTGCCTGGATCTTCTCGTTTATTATACAGCACTTTATCTATCCCACAATTAGTATATTTTAGAGTGTTAATTACAGCACTCCAGGCGAGAACAACGTGGCGCTCTTGTCATACAGCCGCCGTTACGCGAGCGTCGCCGACGCATACCTCCATGTATTCGCGAGTGACCCTCGCCTCCTGGCCAGAAGCCGCAAAAAATTCGGCATCAAGTAGTATAAATTCGACTATTGTTTGCACCTTAGTATATCCTCACGACTCGCGGGAGCCCTTACGGGCTGCTGGACGCCAGGCACTACCCGCGCTGTACTGCCCGTCTACAGCAGCTCAGGCGTCGGTGAGTGCAGCGAAACTGTTTTGCTGTTAAACGCCTTCTGCAGTAAGAGTGTGCACCACTTAAGAATGGGAAAGATGGTTCATTTGGATGCCGAATAATGCCGGCGAAATGCACTATGTACCGCCACGGTCACTCGTCTCTAAACTGCCCAAGCAATATGCATATAGGTGCATGAGGATGGCTGATGGAGCGAAGGAACATGCTCTAGAATATCAGCTGAACAATATGGTGTGTAAATAAAAAAATTTCATAGTACTGAAAGGGAAAACCAAAACTGTGCTGCATTGAATGAACATGTCAAAAGTTCGAAGGAGACGCCGCCAGCTACCACTGCCCGTGGCACCGCCACGGTGGTGGACCAGCAGGCAAGGATTGAGGTAGAATTGCTTGTGAATGAGTGAGCACCTATATTCCACAGAGATCTGCCGGCATTTTTTCCTCCACTGTATAATGGGTTCGTTTAACACGAATGTAGTTTCCACACCCAGCAGGGCCCACACAAGCCGAGCTTGTCCAGGCAACGCTTCTTTAGTCTGAAGGATAAGCTCTTGGATGGCGTCATAAAATTCCTTAATGATCATTATGCGATATGCGCCAATATTTTTGAAGAGAAGCCAACTCTATGAAAGCTTTTATAGGTGTTGTCCACCCGTTGCCACTCGAAATGTCGGAGGGCATGCCACGGGAGATTGCATGTACGTTACCGTCCTGAAATTCTGTAGGATCCTGCGTTGTCAGATTGAACGCTTCTAGAGCGTATGTTCTCGAGCATCTCCGCCACCCTTCCCAGTAACCATCTGGCTCTCATGAGCGTTGAGAACTAGGTCGACGAGTAGTTCGGAGTTCGTTTCCAGTGGACCGGAACCCGGAAACATTTAGTTCAGATACAACCGTAGCGGCAAAAAATGGATACAGTAGAGACAATATGGCAGGAGTTGAATCAGGCAAGCGGTTGCAGGAGTTCCGGGGGCCGATCTCCTTTATCCAGTTTCCAGATACCCAAAAGGAGAACAAAATGCCCCATGCAACCTAAAATATTCAATGTTTACCGGACGCTGGGTGTCTCGTCACAGAAGACATCAAACTCACTCCCTATCCAAGAGGGTTTTGAGGAGAGGGGAGCTGAGGGCGGTTCCGCATCTGCACATGAGAACAAGAGGATCTACAAAGTCGACTCCTGGCAGTTTGTAGCGAGTACGGTGCAGCGGCAAGTTAATACCCTGAAGGAAGAGTGCAACAATGCTAAGAGATATAATGCTCTGGAAACCCTCAAGGACATCTTCGTAGAGGCCGCTGTGCCAAATATTTTCTACGACCGAGCTTTCCCTCTATTACTTGACCCCTTCCTGCTGTGCCTTTCGGAACCGTCTGAGGCAGCCCGGTATATGGCAGCTTGCTTGCTCCTGAAGTTTTTGACTGAAGTGGCAGAGGTTGACGCAGTCCTTGGGGACGTTCTCCGAGGGTTGGTTTCGCGATTTGGCTCCAGAGACATCGAAGGAGTCGCACATCTGCCTCCTATAATGCGCCCAACGCCCGAGTATAAGCCTTTGCAGTTGGTGCCTGTAGAAAAAAGTGAAGAAGTCCGGCGAACTTTGCTTCAAGTCCTCCAAACCGTGCTTAATCGGACATCGGACAAATCAACTTGGGACCACCTAGACTTGATTACCGGTCTTATTCGTGCGACAACAATGGATCTCTGCCACGAGATCAAATTTGCTGCGCTGCAAATTCTTGTCGACTTTTTCGATCGCCATCAAAGTATGCTGCTCCACTTCACCGAACCGGTAGCTAGGTCAATTCTTTCATGTCTTGTACACCAACATGCTAGGATCCGTATGGGAGCTCTTAGAGCGTTGACTCATGTGCTGGCTTGTGGATTGTACAAGTACAATGGCGACATAATTCAGATGCTCGCGGGGTGGCGTGATCCAAACATTGTCCCAATCAAAGCACTGTATGAACCAACAACAGTCCGTAACTATTTCGCAGAGCTGCTGGCAGATCAATCGCCTATGGTCCGTATGTTTTTCTTTGACACAGTAGCACGGTGGCTATTCGAATTTAAGGACAAGGCAGACTACGAAACTTGGCTGTTCCCGTACCTTCTAAGTGGGCTATTTGACTCGTTCAGACCCATTCAGCAGCTGGTATTTCGACTTTTGGAGCTTCTTGGTAAACAGTATGAAGACACACACGAGAAAGACCTTCGCGATATTAAGCAGCTTGGAACTCCTGAACCTTGGAGCTACGGGGGACGAGCCTGCCTTACTTTCCCTTTAGGAGGCTACTGGGATGCGGCTGAAGGGAGCAAAGCGCTTGAGGAGAGAGAACAATTCGTGTCGTTTGTTGCCACATACACAGAACGTTTGCACTCTTTGGGCTTTGACGGATACTCTCTGTCAGAGGCCCAAACAGAAAGGTTCGCCACAGCGGGCGACGCACTCGTAGGTGATCCACCGAGACCCTGCCTTGGAACGCGTATGATGGTTAGAACGTATTTTAGACGTTATGCAAACACACTCTTCCAGCATGTGGAGGACTTCAAAGAAGTTACAATGGCTGCTTCCGCTCGCTTGATGGCGATTTCCCTCGCCTTCATAGAGGAAGCATGTGTAGAATGGCTGGACAGCATCTTGACGATTTGCTGCCGAGTCCTTCCCGTGTCACACCACATGTGCCTGGAGGCGGTGGAAGCATATAAAGTGGCTGTACGCCTAGTAGGAGCTTTCGTAGACCCTGAAATCTACTGGGATTTTGTGAAAGGCGCTCTCGAACAGTCCAGTTTGGAGGAGGCTCATGATAGAGTTGCGAAGGTTGGCTTGCTGGCACTAATGCTAGAAGGCTCATTTGCGGTCCTTCAGAAAGCCTCTGGTTCGACTCTGGGCTTGGGTCGTCTTAAGCCAGTACTGCCCAAGATTGCGGAAGCACTCTATTACACAGAGCTTCTACAGGAGGAATACATCAGCTTTTCTGCTGAAAGCGTGACCAAGGTTCTTCAAGTCCTGATACCCGCTGCAGTTCGGCAGCAAGAAAAACTATCGTTGACGACGTGGCATCATCTACTAGGCGTCATCTGCTCTCTTGCCTCTCCAGATAGTACTGAACTAGAAACTGCCAATAATACCCCTTTGGCTCCACACCTCCAAGATCTACTTGACAACTTGGCTATTTGCAACGGGTTCGCAAGCAATGGATTTTCTGCCCAGAAGGAAGTGGGAAACCTGTGGCACTTGGTTGAAATATCCGACGGCTTTATGCCAACCAATTTGGCAGCGCTGAACACATATGTACGGTATTTGCCGTGCACACGCATTCGTGAAGAGAGGACGTTCGAACTTATCTTTGCGAAGCTGCAGGAGCTTTCTGCAGCAACACAAAAGGCTGCAACCAGAAGAGGAGCTAGGCGGACAGCTTTGAGGCTTATCAAGAGGCTGATATTGGAAACCCCACTGAATGGCCAGTTAAACGACATTCACGAGAGCACTTCATCTGATCAAACTACCGAGATAAACTACGAGCCCCCAGCTTTAAAAGGTTGCTTTAAGTTGGACAATTCGGCAATGCAGGAAGCTACAGAAGTACTGAGTAATGCCAAAGGGCCAGACAAGCTGGTGAAAATGTCGGAAGTCCAGGATCAACTCATGAAGTCCCCAATACAAGCGGCAGCGAAGATACTGACTGGTATACTGCTTAATAAACTGAGTCAGTTGGACTTCCTCGACGATTTGGAAGATACCTTAGTAGCCTTGACGGAGTTTTTGACTCTTCCGCTGTCCGCAAGTTGTACAATTCCGGCGTCTCTGCAAGAAACGTTGGAAACATCAGGATTTGTTACAGCCTTGGGTCAGTTCCTGCAAGACCCTTCTCTGCACAGGCGACTGTTTTGCCTTGCTTGTGAAGCGTATGCACATGAATGCGCTACCAAATACCCTGACAAGCAGCCTGCTACGGTCTTGGAGGACTTGCCACTGGGGAAACGCCGAGAGCTACGGTTATCTTCAATTAGGGCTGCGGCAGCTCTCAAGGAGCATGCTGTGCTTTTGATGAAAGTCTCTTTGCCAGTAGCGGCCAAAAGCGTCGGAAGCCTCAGATGCTTAGTGAACTCGTTAATTGAGTCACTTCATCCTGCTAACAAGCTTCAGAAGCGTCACGCAGTGCGTATGGGAGAAAATTGCCATGCCTCCTGGAGTAAAACATGCTCTTGCGAAGCTGAAATGAGCCTAGTTGACACTTCGGACCAGCTTGGAGGAGAAAAATGTGCGGCGGCGGATGAAACGACTGGAAAAAGAGAGAATCAGGGCGCCGTTCAGTGCACATCGTCCCTGCCGTTTCAACCCCAAAGCCATTGGCTTCTCTTTCAAATTGCCAGCTGCCTTTGGGATGCAATAAATATGGCAATATCTTGCAACGTTGATTTAGACAACAGAGACGCGGGCACCGACAAACGCCCTGCTTCTTGCCAATGCCAGTCATTAATAATGCCGCGAGTTTGGCATTTTCCAGCACACAGCCATCTTCAGCTTGAAAGAGCAGGCCGATTTCTTCTTGAGCTGTGTACAGAGTCTGAGCTAAGTGGGGCAATCGACAGTTGCGTTAGGCAGATTGTCGAACTTCAGGGGCCCATGCAGTCTGATTCCAAGTTGAGCACGGAGAAATTCGAAAAAGACTCAAGACGCTGCTGGGAAGCGAACCCAAACCTGGGTCAGGCAGTTACAATGGCCAAAAAGCAGATAAACACTGTACCTGCTGAAATGCAAAAGGAACAGGCAGTACTTGCCCTTATCCATCTCGTACGGCTGCTTGGTAGCGTCTGCCCCAGCGCTATCAAGGAATGCATAATGCAGTATGACTCCAGGGGACGCTTCAGCCGGCGTGAAGTTTTGACGCAGCTGCTGAACGACCCCACCGCCACCTCATGCGGTTTTACAAAATAAGTAACACTTACTATTCAGGTTTGTGACGACGCTGCATACAAAAGCACAGCCCCCCAGAGACACTATGGATTTTGACGGGGGCATATCCAATTTGCTGAGAAAAAGGCGCCATTATTCATACGGGGCAGATGTAAATTCAGGCCAGTTACTAATTGCAGGGGTCACGCTGTGAGACGGACGGCCACGGGGACGGTGTCAACTCACTTCGTCGCCGAACTACACTGTAACGTAATTGCATGTGACGTAATTGCATGGAGAGTTCCAAAGGGACTCAAAAGGACTCTCGGATGACTGCGTTCAAGCCTTTAGGTAAAACGCACGCATGCATGCTCGCGAGGTTACAGCAAGCCATGCGAAGAGGAACTTGGAAGTAAAATGTGATAGGAAATGCCAATATCGTTGTGCCCAGTTCTAGTTTTCACTAGATGCGACAAAAGCCACACGCTCAGGACTCCCGAGGCAGGCCCAAACCGCATGTTCTGCGCAGACGCCGAGAACCTGAGTTCTTGTCCGGGATCCTAGTGAGAGCGTCCACTTTGCAAGTGGCTCTGCTCTGGAAAGCTTGCGCGGTATTCAGAATGCGGCAAGCACGCCAGGAATATGCTTTGCTAGGGCAGTGTGCCCGATGCACGTCTTAGTTTCTACAATGATGGCCGAAGAAGCCTCTGGACCGGTGACTATCCTTAACCAGCAGTAGCATTAACCCGCGTGTTAGAAATATGTCATTGTGCGCCTTACCCCTCTTGAAGTTCCCATACGGACGGGTGCTGCTAGATGCACTTTGCATTTAGATGGAGGCTCCCAGGTGATGGTTAAACATGCTTACAGTTTCAGTTGACCTCTGCCCTGAGGCTCCGTACTGAGGGGAGGCAACATTGTACTGAAGTCATTTAATTATACCAACTGCAGAAAGGTTTAAGCCATATATGATTTGTCACCACGATAACCATTCAGTTTCCATTAAACAGATATGACGAGGGTGGACAGCATTGCTCCTGGACCATTGTGTGCGGGAATAAATTGGTTCCGGACCATTATTCCTTGACCCTCTTGCGCTGCAACAAGGTGGAAGCGAACTGGGTAAACCCCTCCCCAATGCATATGTCCTGCACTAAACATTGTAGAAGTCCAGAGCAACCTTGGTTAGTCGCGTGCGGCTGACGGAAAAAGAAACCCGGCCTTTACAGAGTTGCGCGGCCTTTGCAGCTCCTCCCGCACCCGTGGGAGCAAACGCAAGCTCTCCCGAACTGAAGCCTTTCCAAGACTCTTTCTGTTGTCTGTGTGAGAACCGAATTAAGTTGGCAAGGCTCTTACTAGGTTTCGAGTGGGCAACATACATTGATACATACGTGTGTATACGCACAACAGTAAATACACGCAAGGCACCCTGCTGCACCACTCACCTTGATATTGGAGTAGCTACTTTTCCCTTTCCGATGAGATACGTTAGCAAGCTGCATTCAAATGGCGGCTGCCTGAGGAGGCTATGCGTACCTGGTACAAGAATGGCCCCTGACCATTCCGGGGTAGCTTCAACAAACTTCCACGAAGCCTGTGCTTGCGAGCCCCTCAGGCCACTGTGACGATTCATGTGAACTGAGGCATTAATTGCAAATGCTTTTCCATCCTAGGCCGGACAAGACTCTCTGAACCCCGCCGTTTAGCACCCACGGTACTTTCGGCTCTTCGCACACTGATTAGCCAGTATGTGGTGATGGCAGCCGCCAGACTCCAAACATCAAGCATCCTCCCCCAGGAATGTCGTGGCAAGTCGTTCTGAAGCTTGTTTCTCTGACTGCTTGTTTACATATCCAGGCGTATACTGGGCTGGCAGCAAAGGCCACAGAACAGAGTCTGATAGTATCCGCAAAAGACAATATGCTGGAGCCTTTTCAGTTTCCTTTCGTAAACGACGGCTTGCTGGTCAACTTCTCTCCTTGCAGAAGCTCTTACATATTGCTGGACCGCCCAGTGACCGCTAAAATACCACGTAGTATATCCTAATCTGACAGCGGGCAAAGTGTCCTGCAAGTTATCTAGATAGACACGGCACACTTCTGTCCGTTCTTAGTAAAAATGATTGCCATCGCCTGCTCGATTTTTAAATATCCGGTCAGCACCGTCAGCAGCCGCAGGCACAGCAATGCTATTGTCCATGGCACAAATCTGTTAGACATTTCTGAGAAACGAGGTTAAAAACTGTAGGCGCCCCTTTGCAGTCCATTAGGGGTAAGCGGCGAACTAGGCGACTCACAGAAAAAGTTCACCCTTTNTTTGTCAGTCGAAAACAAGGAACGGATCTAGATTGAAAGTAATTCTCAAGTTTAGGAAATCCGTCAGTGTTACGAATTGGTGGTCGTTGCAGGCTGTAGAACCAAGCTCCTTCGGCCTTGACACTCCACTAACCGCAAATCAATACTCTTCACGGGAAGCTCCGAAGGCAAGAAGTAAGATTCTGCCGTATTCTCCCCATGCTCTAGGACGTCGATGAACACATATGAATAACTTTGGGTCGAATCAGTGATTTGGCTGCTCAACCCTTCCATCCAATGCGGTCCGATGCTCTTAGGACGGGGGTTTGAAGGGAATAGCGAAGGGGTGTCTGAATCTGATTCATTACATTGTAGACAGGTACGTCTAGGTCACACAGGAACGCTACTTCGGGATCAAGACATTTTAGTGAAGTGACTCTCCGAAATCTGATAGAACGAATCTCCGCCACCTTCATCCACGGCGGAAATGCCGGTGGGCGTTACCCTTTCCTCTCTTCACAAACAACAGTCACTATGGCCTATCAATCTGCACGGATGATGTGATAAGACTGGGGTGCTCTCGCGGTCTTTTGTATTTGCTGAAGCTCTAGAATACGAAAAACGTTCGGCACGCGGAGGCATCGCAACAGCATCAGGTTGTAATACATGTAAGCGGACGCTAGACTGGGGCTGCATGAAGGCAGTTTACATTCAGGCTAAACAGACGAATTGGCCCCCTGACTGATCCTGGACTGGCTTGCGAAAACTAGCTTCTGTCGTGTGGTCTGCACGTTTTCACCCTGTATATTAAGTTATCCAGAACAAGGTTGACTCAGTAGAATCATTAAGCCCAACCTCCACAATTGCGTAGACCTAGCCAGGACTTGTCATTCCACAAAAGAAATCCCACTTGCGCCGGAGTATCTACTGCACTGTGCATCCCAGCAGTTGGAAGAGCTGTGCAAGCTGACCATCAGGTTGCTGGAAAACGTAGACAGGAACCTGGCCAACTGCGAGGACTATCATATCGATTAGCTGTAATCAGGCGCCAGAAGTTGCGAGCTAGCCACGACCCAGTGGTATGAGATCCTACAAGCAACAAACCTAATTCAACGTCCTGATGTGCGGACGGTCGTTGTACTGATCGAGATGAATTGACGGCGACTGCCTGGCAGGGGCCGCTACCATGCGGTGTGTCACCCAGTTCCTCTGCCACACGTTTTTATATCACGATTGCTGTATCTAAACATTCCGTGCCTGACCGATAGCTACCTGTCTTGCATGCAGGTTCGCTCAAGAAACCACTGTTCAAAGACAAGCGCTCGCAATATGCGTACCTCACCGTTCATGTATGCCTTCTTAACCCTATACACTGTGTTTTCTAGCTGCGTCTATGGAGTTCGTATACCCAAACGAAGGATGTGGTAATTTTTTGGCCAATTCTGCGATCGACGCAAAACACCGCCCTTTTAGATACGACAAGCGTGAAGCAAAAAAGTCTGGCAGAGGAACTGGATGCTGGCTTAAGGATATCTGATGCCGACGCCTATATGGAGATTCTAGTTTACTACAAACCAGAAGAGCTGTTGTAGCAGATGCTTCCCTTGTTCTCATCAGTAGTGGTTTTGTTGGAAAAGGGGGCTTTTTATGCTGAAACAAGCTCGCTGAGACAGTCTGCTTGACAGAGAATGTCTTCAGGATTAACGCTGAGGATGGAGCTCCATCCTCTGTCTTCTGGGGTTAGCGATTGTACCGGCATTTCGGAATGCCTGCCTTCCCCTGCATTACAAGAAAACGGCTGGCTGCAAAGCGGACAGGAGCGTAGCGGACCCTCAGGTCCCCATGCTGCAGTAAGAAGGCCGCATACACTGCAAGCTTCCGGGACAGATGGACCCCCATAAGGCCAAAGATTCTCTGCATCACCAGGGGAGCTGACGGCGCAAGTAGCAGACACTGGCAATGCTGGGTTACGGTGTCCTCCGATCTCAATCGCAGACTTGCGTTGCATAATGCAGCTGATGTAGCGAACAGGAAGACCGGTTGCTGCACACCAAGGGAACGAAAAGTCACAGGATGGGCAAAAACATTCCCAGTAGGAGCTGAGCGCATTACAGTTGGGACAGGGGAGCTGAGGTGCTCGTGGAGCCTCTAGACCTTGTCTTCTTGAAAATACCAAAAGGTTTGTTGCATCTAGACGCTGCTTTCCGCCAGGTGGCACTTGGGCATCCATTTGCATCGCGTGCAAAGCTTGCGAGCACAGGTCCCATTCCTGTGACTTGTAAGCTGAGATAAATAGGAGCTGAGCACTGAGGTAAAGAGAAAGCTCCCGTTGGTAAGACTCCCACAGTCTCACTGCCGTGCACAGAGCGGCGCGGGCTCGCTTTTCAGACAAGTGAAAGCAGCAGAGAAGGTACAGATGGCATGCCGCAGCACTATGCCAATGGTGTTCCTCTTCCGCGCTGGTGGAGTTGGCGGAAATGGAGAGAGCCACTCTTCCTTTGAGGGCAGAGTTCTCACTGGTGGCGTTGCAGGCGGTACTCAGGCAAGGAGTGTCTAAACTCTCCATTGTTTTGTGTCCGGCTCTCAAGTGATGCTTCCGGGCTAGCAACGCAGCCGTGATGTGCATCTTCCGCTGCTTTCGGGGGTTCCGCAGTAGATGGCCCAGCTGTCTAGGAAGTCTGGCAAGCTCGTGGGCAGCAGCCTCAAATGCGCCTATAGTAAGGAATGCTTCCACAACATCTGCACTGCTGCATTTTTTCTGTTGATGCTGCATTGCATTCCTGTAAACGGAGGTTACCACCTGCAGCTTGGTGCTGTTACAGTGCTGACGAGCTAGAGAAACAGCCTTTACCCACTCTCCACCATACAGGGCAGCATCAACTGCAAGCTCTGCTCTTCCTGCTTTGAGAAAGGCATCTGCGCTTGCAGCTCCCCTCCCTGCAGCCGCAAGTAACTGAGCTGCGCGTAAGAGCAATTCTGGGTCAACATCAGAAAGTTTACAGACGAGGCTTTCTAGTTCTTCGTACCTCCCCGAGAGGAAGTATACCTCAAGAAGCCCTTCCTGAGGTTTCAAAGAACTGTAAAGGTCAATCGCCGGTATCCAGTTCCCCTGTTCTTTCCAGGCCTCCGCCAAGGCCATTCTGACCTTTCTTAAAGAACTTTGTTCTCCCCGGCTATGCGCAGAGACAGCTAATTTCAAAGTGTCAGACGCTGCATCCCACATACCGAAGGAACTGAATAAATGGGCAGCGTGCTCTGGTTTCTGCTGAGCCTCATAAAAAGCACCTGCCCCCAAGATATCTCCAGACAAAGCGGCAATAAAGGGTCTGCCTTCAGCCCTTGGATTTAGAAGGCGAGCCTGCTTGAGCACCTGCAAGCTGCAGTAGTCCTCGCACCTGAATGATCACAGGAAGGGAGAAGAATCTGAAGCACTCCCTGAAAAGATGTTAGCAAGTAGCTTGGCCACGGCTACGCTTGGCGCTTCATTGAACGTGTAATATTTCCCTATTGTAGGGGTGATCTTATTGTTGTGTTACTCTGCGCGGTACTGCGCTGTTTACGTTGTCAAAGTAAAAATATTAAGGTACGAAGTTGAAACCACCTACCGTACAAGAGCCTCCTCTGTGATTCCCAGGTCCTCTAATGCTAATGCAGCCTCGGCCAGTAGTCTCCAAAGGATGGGATGGTTAAATCTGGCGGCGAAAGCGGCAGCCTTCTGCAGGCTGGCAAGCCCTCCTGAATCACCTGGTCTTTTTTGACTGGCTCCCAGCAAATGCCGCATCTGCAGGAGTGGTTCTGCTTCAAAAACTCTCACTGCTTCTTGCTTAGGCTCAGCTATCTTTTGCTGCAACAGCGTGGAGAAGCACAGAGCTCTTGCACGCAGGTTATAAAACTCAACCAGGTACAGGGGTCCAACGAGTGGTTCCTTAGGTGCCTCGACACCCAAGAATAAGGAGGGAGCCCCGCCTTGAGACCGAGTGTGGAGAAGCAGTATCCCCATATGCTGGAGCACTGCAATTAGGTCGTCGTGGTCTGAAGCCCACATGTAATCCAGCACAGCTTCCACGGGGTCGCACAGGTTTGCGGCAAAACAAGATGAGTGGCCTGAGACACTCCTCAAAACATNCGTAGCAAAAAAAAACTAACAGTAGTGCTGCTCAGAAGCCGCTAAAGGCCATTGCATTGCAGCTTGCCTGTACTATCGTGCGGAGCGGCGGCTGCTATGATATGCAGCCGCCCCTGCAAGTCAATCCCTGCAAGGGCCGTGGCTTCTCTGTTGAGCTTCAGGCTGCATAGCCGACTTGGTGTAACGGCAGAGGCCTCGAGCTGAATATGGGGCGTAGTTAGCGTGGTCCTTAGCCGCAGCAACTGCCCCGTCGTTCGCGCTACTATTAGGGATTCGCCACGTCCATCTAAAGCGCATATACTTCCGTTGATTGTGTCTCTCGAAGAAAACTCGCAAACAACGTTCAAATCTACAAGTGCAGACAGCGGCACCGCTCTGTTGTTTTCTTTACGGGTCAAATGATAAAGCCAAAGATCGTGTGAGCTGCCTGCTATCACTAGCCAGTGAGGTAGCAGAATGGCGTGCGTCGGACCAACAGGCGATAAAATGGTCTCCACAGTGTTGCCTGAAGTGTCGCATAATTCTACAGGAAAACCTTCCTGCCCCGTTTCTCGTGCCGGCCTTCTCAGGGCAGTCGGCGACTCTCGGAAGCCGTTATCGTCAGGGAGGCGGTGGGGGCCTTCCTGATGCTGTGGCTGTAGCAACGCACCAAAACGGTCACTTTGCCACAAAAATGTAGGTGGCAGAGCAGGTGTGGCTTGCGGCACGACCGCACACAGAGATCCTCTCGATACGAGAAAGCGGGGCCCCCGAAACCGTCTGACTGTACGGTAGTCGCCTGGTCCTCGCAGAAAGGAGACCTCTGTTGTCAGTTGCTTGCGGGGAAAGAGACCTGTCGCTGCCACCGTGTTTTCACCGTAGGAGCAGCACGCAGCAGGACGGCGCAGGGAAAAGATGAAAATTCCATTTTCCGCCGCCGCAGCAAGCCTTTCGCCACCGGCGGCCCAAGCCAGCTCCCGTGGTTCGGCGCTGGCCAAATTGATAGTGACAACTATCTTACCGCATGCCTGCACCAGCACCAGTAGCGTCCAGGCATCGGGGGTCTGCCTTCTTTCCTCCGCTGCACTTCCTTCCAGTTTTCCGGCGGAATGTCTTGCGACGGATGACGCAGCCAAACCAGGGAGGCCCAGAAATGCTGCGAGCATGCCTGAGGGGTTCCACGACGCAGCTACGCATGAAGCAAGGCCGGTTTCAAATGAAAGTGGCTGAGCATCCCCATCCGTCTGCAAGAGCACGCCCTTGCCATTTGCATACGCAGCTAGAATTGGTCGGAAGGCCCAAGACCCTGGCTGCCATGCTAGAGCTGCCCACAAAAACAGGAAACGCAATTTTGTCAATGTTTCAGAGACGGGTGGCAATATAATTTACTACGAAGGAGTTGGTACGAAAGCCCAAGAGCAGCTGGCTCACCCGCTACTCCTTGCCCTGCAGCCTCAACCTTCGAACCCAGCTTCCGTATGTAAATACCCCGAGAGTCATGAAGGCTCACTTCGCCGTCATTCGACGCTAGGACGAAACCGGTTCCATTGGGAGAAGCACAGAAGCAGGAACACTTCTTCACATCACGCGACCATAGGCGCTGGCCCTCAACTGTCACACAAACCAGGTGGCCATTATCGTGTAGTAGACAAAGGGACATCTGTGGAGAACAGCCACCGCAAGGGACCCACTGGAGACCCACCAACACCCCGGGGACTCCAAGGCAAAAAGAAGAGAGCTGATTCCATTTTCCTTCAGCCTCTTCCCAGATCCGGATGCTTCCATCTGAATCTCCGGTAGCTAGTAAGCCACACACAGTGTCTGCAGACACGCAGAAAACGGGCCCCTGAAGCAGCGTACACATAGCAGAAGAAGAACAATGTATGTCCATAGGTACTTGGAGGTGGGTGCAGGAACTGCTCCCATTAAAGCATGATAGGCCTCTATTCAGACACGAGCTCACCGTGTGTCCACTGCGGCACTGGGTGTGCCAGGCTTCAATATCTTCACTTACGATGGACCCAGCGTTCGTAGAGCCAGATAGACCTACAAGGGGGGACACTGGTGAGATTCTCAGGGTCTTCAGGCTACCAGAGTCAGTCCCGAGGAGCAGCCACTCCCCCTGCCAGGCAGCGCTGCGCACCGAGCTGCATGACAGTGCTCCTTCAAGAAAGCAGTGAATAGACATCCTTCTAGAAGAGAAATGGGCTCAGGGCCTTCACAGAAGGGTAGCTACAGGTACGCCACGGCACGAGGGCGAAAGTATGGAGACGTCTCTCGCAGTCGGGTCACTTCAGTCCTACGCCACGGGCGATAAGGACAAATGGTGAAGAAAAAAACGAATTTCAAAAACAGAGTTTTTCTTCGGGGGCCTTGTTCATTCATTATTCTGTGCACCTACCAGTGATGGCGTCGAGTTGGCTGTTGGGCGGCTCNGAAAATTTTCCGCATGCTACTGGGAGCCGCATTTAGAATGTATTAATTACACAATTGCAATGCCCTAACAACGTGTAGACCGGAGCGGGGCGACCGATCCACTATACTTGAATGCAACTAGTTCCGCTGTGGCGTCGGCAGCCCTGGCACGAGCTGCGGCGGGCAATGTACTACTATCAACTCCATACGTGGTTTGTACATGGTTTATTGCTCTCTATCTAACACCATTTTGAGTTTCCTGGGCTCCAGGTCCTGCGGAACATGCATGATACGTATACATGTGGCAATGCTCTTTGCCCTTCAAGTCTGCTCGGAGCTTCCCTGCAATCCTGTTTTCTCTGAAATTTCTCCCCGGAAGTTGCTAGAATTCTTCGAAGATGGAAGAGCATTCCTTCAGCGAATTGTCTAGCTCCTTAGGGGCGGGTTGTTTCGAAACATGTCCCCAAAGGGGGCCAGGAGTGACCCTCCTGCAGAGTGAGCTGAAGCAGATACAGGCCATTGCTTCGGGAATTCCCGAAGATTCGGACCCTCAAAGGCAAATCGAGCTGCAACGCATGGCACAAAAACAGAAAGAAGCAGCAGAAAGAGTTTCGGGATGGCAAAACTTGCTCTGCAACGCAAGACAACGCAGACTGCACGAGCGCGAAGAGCAGCAAAGACGAAGGGAAGAGGAGCTACTCAGGCAAGACCAAGAGGAACAAAAGCGCCGGCAACAGCTAGAAGAAGCTCTAATCGAGAGAGCAGAAGCAGTGGCCTTAGGAAGAGATGAAAAGGTTAGAACTTTCATTCGGGCACAGATGATCGCCGATACGATAGCAGGGCAGAGAGAACAGCTGAGATGGGCGGAGCAAAAGCGGTCCATAGAACAGATGCGTCAACTCGACTTACTGAGGGAACAGCAGAATACGAACAGGCAACTAGCTGAGAGAGAGCAGCGTGACAAGCAGGAGCAGCATGCGAAAGTCGTGCAAGCGCAAGCCATTCTAAGGCAGCAAATCAACGAGATAGCCCAGCGGAAAAGACAGGAAGCCGACAAGCTAGCTTCCGAAGCTGAAGAAACTAAAAGACAACTGGAGGAGGAGCAACAAGCAGAACGCGACGCAGAGAAAGCAAAGCTTGCAGAGGTCCTCTCCGCACGTGAATTGCCTGGATGTTTCCTGGCTGGTTTCTTTCACACTGACAGTGGCTAGCCAATGTAATTCAAGCAATTCACACTGAATAGTACGTGACATGTATTTAGCTGCAGCGCGGTTGACCTAAGCATTGCTGCGGTACTGCTCTTTTGGTTGTGACGTTGCCCGTCTTGCGTCTCTGACAGTGGCGTTGCTGCAGTCTAAACGACTTTACAGAGAACTCGTGAGGGCGAATGAAGAACTTCAAGGTCGGAGAAAGGCGGCCGAAGCCCAGCAAAAAGCTGAAGAAGCCTTAGCTTTCGCGTGCGCTGCAAAACTTCAGCAGAGAGAGGCAATGATACGACGGAGGAGGGAAGAACTCCGGGCTTGGGCCCTGGAGAGAAGTGAACGGCTTACAGCTAAAGGAGCTGCAGCGCTGGCAATTGCTCAGGTAAATACTACATCTGATATTTCGAGTCGATGTTTCCGTGAGCCGTGAGCCAGGAGGATGCGGCGTAAGCAGTACGGTGTATTCCCGTTATCTCGCCTTAGTGCTGGGAGAACTTCAGCTCCTGATGCTGCTTCCACTTGGTGCCGCTTTATTTAGGCCGAAGAAGCAAGGCACCAAGAAATTCAGGCTGCACGTTTTGAAGCAGATGTCAAACAGGCAGAAGAGGCAAAACAGCTTAGGAGAGTGGCCATGCAGCTGGAGCTGAGGGAGAGTCGAGACAACCAGGTTGAAGCAAAACGAAGGGAAAGGGAGAGAAAGACAAGGGAAGACGCAGAATATGCTGAATCCCTTCAACAGGCAGCAGCTGCGGCGCAAGCAGAAGAAGAACGAAAGCTTCGGGAGCAGCGCCTCAACCGTTGGAAAGTAGGGGAGGAGCAGAAGCGTCAGGCAAGGGAAAGGCAAGAGTCGAAAAAGCAGCAGCGGGAGCAAGCTCTTGAGGAGGAGAGGAAGGCGAACGCCAAACTACGCGAAGCAGACCTTGCTTTGCAGCGTTTCGCTGAACAGGGCATTGCAGCAGCAAAAGCAGCTGGAGCAGACTGGCGCATCCTGGAAAAGGCCAAAAACAGGTTGCTGCGTCAGAGCAGTTTATATGTACCTCTTAAAAGTAAGGATGGCGATGGGGACACAGCAGCTCCTCGATCGCCGACACCCTGCATAGAACAGGATGCCATCAACGTAGTTCGTGGAACCTCCGCTTGAGCAAACTACACTCTTAAAAGCGAATGGGGCTCGCTTTTTAAGAGGTGCTTATGTAGGGGCATTGAGCAGTCGTCACTACTCTGCGGCGACCTCATTCCTGGTGTCCCTCTTTGAGAGCAAAGAAACTCCTCGTCTCTACCAGACTGGCTTATTAAAGAGTGCCCAACAAGTCCTTGTGCAACAAGTAGCCGCTATTCCTAGTCATGAGTTCGGCTGACCAGTACTGCTGAGGCCATGTTATCCCAAATGTGTCTGGTTCCCTTTTCCGTCGAGCTATTCAGCATGGGACTGAAACCGGCTTTCACTGCCGAGGTGACGTTAGAGTATGTCGAAACTGTGGATGATAAGTTTTTAAGCATGGACAGTTGTTGGAAGCGATGTTCCACGACAGACAAATGTCCATAATTCAGGTGCCGATCTCTGGGCTGAAACCCATTCAAACAATAATCAGTAGATGACGGGTTACTTGGCACCCAGGATGCAGAGCCACCTAAATACATATAAAAGATGCCTGTCTAACTAAAAGCGTGTCTACGCATTGTAACCACAGTGTACGCAGCCTACGGCGGCTGATTATGCATTAGAACAGCTGATGCTGCTGCTGTGCACTGTATGCATACGCTTTTATTCGAAAACTTCGCTGAAAAAACTGCCTTGCGACTGGCATAGCATTTTATTCAGCGACACGTTTGCTCTGTTGCCCGAATTGCTCGTGGTCAGCTGAGATCGAGATTCAAGGTGGCGAGGGGGGTGCTCAGCCAGAAATACGCCCACATATCTGTAGGGTGGGATGCCCCAAGCCACGCGTTTCGGTCCCTTTCAGTGCGTATATGCGAAGTGATATGCATACAGACACATGCAAGAAGTGACGACACTGCGTCTTTGATGGCCTAAGAGAAGTTTACAACTCGGACGAGTTAGCCCGGTCAAGGTTTGCCGTGTGTTGAAGGTGGAGGCACTCCAGAAATAGTCGGCGTCGTTTGGCTATGCAAATGCCTGGAACGCTGAGACCAATAGAGAAAGGTACAAACCAGAGGCAGAGAAGTTCGCCGCTCTTTACGATGACAGGGGCGAACTGGGTCACTGGAAAATCAGCCTTCTACAGCAGTTGAGAGTAAACTTGCTTGGAACCCAAAGTCAGTGCTCAGAAGACACGATAAAACACTGAGACAGAGTTGATACTAACAAGCTCTACTACTGAAACCTGTTCTGAGCCAAGTGTCATCAAGGCGCCGGCACACTGGGCCGGCTTCAAAGCGCCGGAATTCACTATGCAAAAATTACAACTATATATTATCTCCAGTGCTGCTAAGCCTGTTAATTTACATGTTTTGGGCTNATATTTATGTAGTGCACGCAGCACAATTCGCTCGATGCAACTGGGTCACCGAGGAAATTCCTCGAGACATTTATCTCCTCCACTACTCTCCTGCCCAACGGAGGCTAAAGCAGAGTTGAGGTAATTCAGAAAATGAGCTTAAAAGTGAATTTTCAGTTGCACTTAGGTGACATTTTCAGTTGAATCGGAGAGTACCACAACTCGGAGACACGGCACGGGGCCCAACGAATGACCCCACTGGTCGGCGGCTGCGTTCAAATCTTTCGCAGCGTAGCTGGCGGTCCACCCCTTACAAAAACTGGCCCATCCAAATGAAAGTGTTCTTGTTATCTAAAGGATCCAGAGTTCTGGAAATAAGGCTGGCGGAACCGTTCCTTGTGGTGGCGTACCACAGCAATGGCGGCGCCACAGGTGCTCCCTCAAACCTTGCTGACGCAGCAGCAGCAACAACAGCAACTACTACAACTGTTACGCAGGGACCTTAATAGGCTTAGTGACAGCAATAGGGTGACCCGCCTCCAAGGAGCCAGGTCCATCCTTCGCGTGTACGAAGAGGAAGCTGCGAAAAGAGCGGCAGAAACTGACCGCGCTGCGACAAGTGGCGACAACCAGAAAAGCCTCCAAAAGGACCATACACCTCAAGCCTGCCCCTTTTCTGGAGTGTTTTTAAGTAGCGTTTATGCTCCAATCTCTGTCTTGTGTGCCGATGAGGCATCAGAGTCTTGCCGGGCAACGGCGTTAGACCTTGTTCAGTTAGTCGTAAAGCATTTTCTTTCAAGGCGTGAGGTAATCCTCATTTGCATGGGCAGTAAAGATACAGGCGACAACACCTACCCCTGGGGAGGAGACTGCAACAGTTGCCCCGTGGGTGCCGCCTTCTTCCGTGGCCGTGCCGGCGCTGCTGACGGTAGCTACCTCAGCAGCAGCAGCGCTGGCCACTCAGAAGCAGTAAAGTCCCTGGTATTAGTCATTGCAGAAAGACTTAAAGATGCCTCTGGAGAAGTGGAAAAAAGCGAAGAACTCCGACTTATTAATATGCAGCTCCTGCAGTACCTCCTGTTGCAGTACGCNGGCGCACTCAAAGACAAAAGCCCGTCCAATGCCATTGAGGCATGCAGGCTTCTGTCTGCAATTTCACAAAAGTTGCAAGTTTCCGTGTTGCTTCAGGTAAAATGTAGTGCCTTCGAACTAAATCGTCGTGTCGGAAATGCCTTTCTTCCCTGTGGACCCGTATCTGTGTAGCGTAAACCCAACTGCAGATCTGGGCCATTGACACCATATCGGTATCCATATCCATACACGTTGACTGTTATTCTTCAGAGCTGCAAACCGCTACTGGAACGTCTCGTTGGCTGCCTGGCTAGACCTCAACGAGCAGTCAGATGGGTAGGCACAAGTTCTTGAAGAATCTTCGAATGCTCAACGCACACAGGAAAATTCAAATAGTTTTGTAGGCGAAATAGGTTCCTCAAGTTGTTCTATGGCGTCTAGATAACGTGACTGGAGTAAATTTGGACAAAGACACGCTCGATGAAAACTATCGTTTAGGGAGTAGTCCGAAGAATGTCCTACGGGAAGTGCGAACTGTCAGGCGTTGTTCGTGATTTGCAGCAAGCGACAGCGGCCTGCGACGCTCTGCTGGGGTCGATATCCTCTTGTGCGACTGTTGCTGAAGAAGATGTTGCTGCTGCGGCAAGCCATATAAGGGCAGCAGCTACAGCAATCAGACCCCTGCTACAACAGGAAGCTGCCGTGGAGAATAAGTAAGCGCTTCCCAGAGTCGTTTAAGGCAGAGTGAGTCACATGCCTGGGCACGGACGGAAAGTGATGGTACTCATCATACTTTGTTGGTGTTTTCGTCGCGACCACAGGCTGAAAATGGTGCAGATGTTGAGGCGGTTGGTACAGGAGATGTCTCCGCGAGTCTTACTGAGACGGAAAGTGTTGCCAAACCTTCTGCAACTCTTATTGCTTTTGATGGGCGACGCCGACCAGGAGGTGGCCCGGGAGGCAGAAGAAGCGCTCCTTGTAAGGAAGAAGGTCTTGCAGAACGATTCGTGCTTGAGCTGCTATTAAAGCTGTAGGGAGGGCTGCATATTCCAAATTCATATGCTGGAGGTGAACTCTGTTCGCGCGCTGCAGAGCCTTGCACCTCGGTGCGTGTCCCTGTCCCGGAAAAGAGAACAAAGGCGAGAGTGGAGGAGAGAAAAAGCGAGATCGCAATCACAGAAACTCAGCAGTGAGGAAGATGAGCTCACAAACGACGATACAGGCAGCAGTGACGACCTTTTAGAGGTGAGGGAGCGACCCCCTGCGATATGCGCATATGAGTTGAAAGTGGATCAATTTTGCAGTCACATGCAGCCGTTGAGAGTGTTGCTCCGGAATGACGAAACGTGACCCCGCTACTTTTATCGTACTAGGTGTAGATGGAATCCGCTACTGCCTTAGGAAAATGAAGACGACGGGCCACACAAAACGTCACGGATTCCGTTATCCCCTTGTGAAGCAGACGATGAGACTTCCGAACTCTACAAGTCAACGGGCTATTGTAGAGAGGCGCCAACTGAATTGGCAGGGTTATACTTGAAAGAGTTGATGGCTGACGTAAGGCAACTAGGTGCATTCTTTTGTGACTCACGAAACGCGCAGGCCTGCGTCTACGTACTGCAATTCGGGAGGTGCGATATCCCTGTGGACGAATGGAAAAATTCGTACTCCCCTAGAAGAGGTGAAACTTGTTGTTTTCTCCTGTTACCTTTGCAGCTGTTGCCTCGCCTAACAAGTTGGTCGGCTGACGAGAGGCTTGCTTCCTTGAGGGCTCTTGCTGCCTTAATGCCAATGAGCGGGTTTCGCTTGCTGCATCAACTGCCGCATTTACTGATGCAGCTTTACGAAACGTGCGCTATCGGAGAAGGACGGCCTCCGGGAAACAGGCAGGATGAGCAGCATCAGTGGTCTCCTCTGCTGTTGCTTGTGCAACACGCCATACTCAGGGAGATAAAGGGCGAAAACGAAGCGAGCAATGACTGCAACAGCACCAACGTCAGCGAGCCGTGGCATCGCGGAGGCTTGCAAGAATTGGGAGCCTGCAGTTCACTGTGCAACTCCCTCGAAGCTGTTGAGCTTGCACTCCAGTGCGCGGGACAGGTAGCGCTGCTCTTACCACCATGTTGTTGGCTTCCAGTGATCGCTACCCAGCTAGGTTTGCATAAGGAAGCTGGCCTGTACATAGAGTGCAAGAAGCAAGCGCTAGCTGTTGCCGTTGCCGACAGCAGCAGCTCTGCTCCTGCAGACGGCGCAGAACATAAAATAAGCAACTGCTCAGATCTGGTTTCTCAAGATGAAAAAGCGTTCCTGCAGAGGTTCTCTGGAGGATACCAGTTCGTGGTGCATGCACTTGGGTTGAATTCATCTAAATGCCACCGGAGTCAGCAAAAGCCACCTTCCGNTTTTGAGGGGACTTAAACCACATAGCGAACAGCGAAGGATGCGGCAGGATCAGAACGAGCGCGAGCACAAGGGAAGTGGGCATGCGACTCATCGTGGTGTCTATGGGCTAGGAAGAAAGGAAGTCTGGCTGTTGGTGCGAATAATAGAACAAATGCAAAGCGCCGAATGCGGCAGAGACAACGATGAATTTATGCCTTTTACAGCTGCTCCCCTGTTACAGCTGCTGCATGCAGCTCGGGAGCTCTGCCAAGTGGAAGCTAAGAGCCTCTTTGCCGCAGCACTACTACAGCAGATAGACACGCGAAGCCATCAGGATATAGCCAGAGAGGCGGTAGGACACTTCTATTTGTTCACTAGGAGCATACCACCTCGTGTTCACTAGTGCTTCTTTGTTTTCAAATGGTTCTGTTATGTGATGATCACCGACAAATGGGCCGCAATCCATCCTTGCTGCTGTTGAAGTTTCGGTTTTGGGCATTTGACGGCTGCCATGGTATGTGTGGCAGGTGGCATGCGTCTGCGAGTGCACTGGTGAAGGGCCACTCAAGCTATATCTTGCTTTTCTTGACGATCTTATTGCACGCGAACTGCATGGTGACTTTGCTAGAGAGGAGAGTGCTAGCCCACCCTCTCCGATGATGCAAGCAAGACCCAGCTTGCCCATGCTGTGGAGTAGCAATGATCCGCGGAGGCTGTTGCTGCTCCGGGCTCTCCATGGAGCACAGGAAGCTGCAGATGCCGAAGAGGTCTCAAGCGCTGCGAATTGCCTGAGGATGCGGGATCTCGTAAAAGTACGACAGTGCATGGATCCACAGGCGTGAGGAAAAATCTTACTTCATGTTAGGCGGTGATAAACAGTCGAGAATATTACGTGTGTTGCTTGCGGCCCAGCTGCTGCAGAGACAAGGAACCGCCCAGGAAGCTACAGCACCAGTGCGTGGTGATATTCTCGGAGCCTGCCTAGCACTATTTTCCTTAAGATTTTTCATTCCACTTGCACGGTACGTCCCCGCGTGAGGTGGTGTCGCTGAAGTATCTCAGGCAGGCTTGGTTCAAAACTTACGCAGAGGTGTGGCCGTGCGAAACATGTATTCTGTCAGGCCTTATGCGGGCTGGCTACTGGAACACTTACTTGTACCGAATCTCCGTTGGCGACCCGGGGAAGCAAATGCAAAGTTGCGCAAGGTACGCAAGGGATATAAATTGACACGCAGATCCAAGCGCAGAATTCACAACGATCGTGAACAGAGCACACATCCGGCTAATCCAGGGCGGTGAAGTTATTCAGGTCGCCCTTCTATGCGTTTCGCAAATAATTCCAACGCTGTCACCAAGCAGCATTCCTCCCGTACCGACACCCCACCAACAGACCGAGGAGGGGCATGAAAATCCAAGCAATGGAGACGTCAATGAAATGGGAACATTCGGGCAGCTGACGCCGGCAAACGAAAGGAAAGCTGAGTTTGATGCAGTGTCAAAAGAGACAAATGAAAACGAAGTACAAGCTAAGCCACTCATAGCGGCACTGTCGTTGCTTTCCCCTTTGCTGGTCTCCTGTATGGATGATGACTGGAACGCGGACGTGCGTTCCTTATCTGTTGGAGTTGTTCGCCAGTTATTCTTGGACCTCCACGTGAGCCTGCGAGCCCTGCTGGATGACATCACTGCTGTGTGGAGCCAAAACTGCCATTCAGTGTCTCGTCCCTACAAGCAATGTTTCTTACCGTAATGCCGAAGAAACTACAGCGGGCGTTCTCTCTGTTCTGCTGCATCTATTACTGCATCACATGTCGTGGGGCTTGAACCCCACACTTTTTGGTTTGCACAGGGGGCCGGGGAAGAGCATGCAGCACTGGAACAGCTTGCTGCAGCAACAGCAACTCCTCTCCAGCAACGGCTCGATGACGCTCGTGACGACATTCGCCTTGCTGCTGCGGTCGCCTTACAGGCAATGCTGAAACAGCGTCCCTTGATAATCAACCGTTCTGCTGCCACCGAAATTTGCAAAAGTTTGTGCATCTGCTTGGACGACCGCAGCGAACTCCTGGCAGCCGCAGCAGAAGCTGCTCTTCTAGCTGGCCCAGATGATCTNACTTATCTATATCAAGCTGCCTGAAATTCATGCATAGTTACTCTGCTTGGGCTACAGTGTAATTGCCGAAAAGGGGGGTAGCATTCATGCTCTGCTGCAGGAACTTCAAACAACGGAGCCAAGCTGCCTTTACCCTGAAAGGTATAAACAAGTTCGTCGGAAGCTGCTGGAGATTTCGGAGCCTTAGCTGAGAGTTAGGTGAATGAGGGAGCCAACGTGTGCTCAACCTGGCAGCAGGCCAATGCGCGGGGTGGCAACAGTTTTTCTGCGAGCTGCTCTCTTCATCACCCAACTGTTGTGGGAAGTATTTCGCTTTTCAATAATCAGAGTGTGACTCGAAAAAACAGTGGCTACCTTCGTTCTCAGCAGGAAAAGTCAAGTAGGCAGAGCTGTGGTGTTCTAGCCCAACACACGTGGAACCTCCGTAGCAGAGAAAATTGCTTACTGAGCTGACCAGATTTTTGCCCATCCAGTTTTGGATATGTTTAGACAATTACGCGAAAATTAACAATCACTTGCAGGCTTACAGTGCGCCGACGTTCACAGCCCGCTCTCACGTTGAAATCCCTTCGTAGGATTTCACGAGATGCGGTATGCTGTGCTGTGCAAAGTGTACCAAAATCGGCCTAACGTGTGAGGAGGAATTCTCAGTGAAAGCGATTAAAATATTCACTCATCACACTTAAAAGACACTTTATCTAGATGGCGTTCATTTTAGCAGGTGCTGCTCGAGGTGGTGTTCATTTCAGAAGCTGCTCATCTGTCTCAAATTTGAAGTATATGCCCTACTAAGGTTACTACGTACGGATGTGTAAGTGAAGCTTCTGACGAAATCAACAAGTCTGAGCTGCGAAGGAATAAGACCAGAATCGGCATTCCCGAGAATGCACGTCGCTTTATTTTCACAACTAGTTTAGTTCGAATCTCTTGTTGTGGGCCATACACGGAAGCTGCAGAATATACGTGGTGGGGCAGCGTAGGCAAATTTATTCACACATACACTCCTTTTAGTCCCACATGTGGGCTTAAACAGATATATCCCCATCCCAAACAACAGTAAAAGTAGATTGGGTGAGTCATTGCCCCCTTTTTCGGCACACATTTCTTCAGGCGAGAGAACTTAGTTTCTCTGAGGCCTCTTTTTTTCAGCGGTTCAGTTACGGACCGCGCAGAGCCTTAATGTCGGTGTAGCGTTCCTGCATTATACGCATGGCATAAGTACNTTCAGTTACGGACCGCGCAGAGCCTTAATGTCGGTGTAGCGTTCCTGCATTATACGCATGGCATAAGTACGCTTCCATGCAGCGTGGCAGTGAAGTTGCTTGGCTCTCGAGAACCATAGAGTGCTGGAGGGATGGTACGGATCAAACACGCAACTGTTCCTAAACAAGTTGCAAATGTCTCAAGTTGGCGCGGTAGTTTCGCTGATAGACCTAGGGATAGCTCTCTGCATGTTGAGGGACTTCGGTTCCCAATTTTTATGATTCCCGAACTGGCTCCTTTTGATTCTGGTTAATCTGCTCTCGGAACGCTTCTCAAGCTTGCGTTCATAGGCAGGTTGTTGGTTTGCTCAGTTGCACAGCAGATAGTGAATTGTGTCTGTATCCCTTAACGCACCAGCTAGTGGCTGTATTGCTTAGACCGACCGGGCGTTAAGATACAGGGCACTCCACTTGCTACTAATTGGAATCTAGAGACCCTGGTAAGCCTAGCACAGGCTCCATTTGAAGGATGCGGCGAGCGAAAAAGTCCCCCGTTACATTACCGCGGGAGCAAAGTAAAGATAGAGAAGGAGAGCCCGTTAGCACCTGCGGAGATGAAGGCACATGGGAGCACCGCCCTAACCTGGGTTTTGCACGTACTTGCCATATAAACCAAGCCAAAGCCAGACCCAAGCGAATGCTTTATATCAAACAGGTTAA